TATGGTATGCTATGGTATGCTATGCTATGATATGCTATGCTATGTTGAGCTATGCTATGCTATGGTATGCTATGCTTGGCTATGGTATGCTATGCTATGCTATGCTAACGCAGCGCTGCGCTATGCTAAGCTAAGCTAAACTAACCCTCTGGGCCGAGGGGGGGAATTACACCCATGCTAATTACCCGAACAGAGAACTAAACTGGCAACGCGGTTGGCACGCACGAGCGCCACAAAATACACCCACAGATCCGGGGTAAGAGGACCAGGAGCTGGATGACGGTGAGGATGACGAGGAGGAGCAGGTGGCAGCGGCGGCAGTGGCGGCAGCGGCGGCGTCGCCCACGGATCCGTTTTTTTGTTTGCTCTAGGCGGGGGACGACGACGACGACGACGACGACGACGACGACCGACGACGACGACCGCTATGCTATGCTATGCTATGCTATGCTATGCTATGCTATGCTGCGCTGTGCTATGCTGTGCTGTGCTGTGCTGTGCTGTGCTACGCTATGCTATGCTATGCTGCGCTATGCTATGCTGGGCTATGCTATGATATGCTGTGCTGCGCTATGCTATGCTACGCTCTGCTATGCTCTGCTGTGCTCTGCTATGCCAAAGCTCGGCGAAGCTAAGATGAAGGTAAGCTAAACTAAGATAAACCTGAGCTAAGATGAAGCTAAGCTAAGCTAAGATGAAATAAGCTAAGCTAAGATGAGATAGGCAACGCCAAGCTAAGGGGACGCAACTGGGGAAACCGCGGGGCGGATCCTGGGGGAATCGCCCGGGGCGGGCAACACTGCCCGGCCCATTTAAGCTAATAGAATAAGAACCCTCTAGGCAGAGCCTAGGTAGGGAACAAAAAACTCACCCTTGAGAAGATACGCTTATTTAGGTTGACTGGTTTTGGCGCTGCCAAATCACAGAGAACTTGCTCGGTTGGTCGGGTTGGCCTGATCACAGGGATTGGTTAGTGAGCATGCCATCGTTTCCAGCAGCAATGCCGTTGGAAATTTTGATTCGGGCTGCGTGGCTAGTTCCTTGTTTTATGAACCCCATGACTTACTAGTATCTTATCATGTGTGGTTTTTGCGTTGCCCCGGCCCTGGCTTGCCGCCCCTCCGGCGTCGGGGAAAGTCTGGGGCGGGAATTATAATAGATTGTCTTGCGGTACACAATCAAACAACGTGATACGTCGTATTCGCTGTTTTGCTGGTTTTGTTTTTCTGTTTGAGTCTTTGACAACGAACATGTGTTCGGTAATTCGTCGTGCCTCTAATGGAGAGCCCGGGGGTGCCAAACTTGAAGGGCTGCCCGTTAGGGCGGGGCACTCGCCTTCCGGAGTCGGCGGTGCCGCGACGTCGTCATGGCGCGCAGCATTCAGTCGATCTTGAAAGGGGCGCGCGGGATGCCTGAGGCGTTGGATCGTAAAGGTGGGGAACGAAGCACCCATGCGCCAAATGAGCGTGGGCAAGAAAAGAAGGGACGACGCGCCAAAAGCGCGCAGCAGCTGACGATTATACGCCAAACGCGTTTCCAAAGGGCCTGGATGCGCGCCGGGAGCGCGCATCTGGCGCATCCAGGCCCTTTGGAAAGTCTGATACTGAAATTGTGCCATTTACTCTTGTCTCGGAGCGCGCCCATTCAAGTTCCCAAACAAGGTAAACAAGAATAAACCAATGATGACAATTTTGTTGCCCATTCTCTTTTGGGTCTCCCCCGCGCACGTTTGCAAGTCAGCGTGCCCGGCACATGACTATCAAGTTGAAACGTTGCCGCACGTAGCGCGTAGGTATTAGGATTCTGGTTAATCTTCCTAAGCAATTGAGGTTGTTGATGCAATAGTTGCGATGTGTAAGGTAATTAGGGTTTCGGTTCGGTTTCGGACCCCCGCGATTTGCAGATTTTATACAGAAAGCCTCTCTCTCACCTCCTCTCTCTTCCTCCTCCCCCTTTCTCCTTCACTTTGGACGGGGACCTGTTGATGAAGAAGGGCTCAGAGGGCATTCGCCTTCACACTGCTGGTGTTTTGGCTCAGAGAAGGGTTGCGCCGAAACGGTCGCGAACCTGCTTTGTCAGACTTCCCGCGTCTCGATCGGCTCAAGCTGTTTCATCGCACGCGCCTTTCGCGCCTACGCTTCGCTTTCGCGACTGCCATGGCGAGGGAGAACGTGATCCTCCCCAAGACCCTCCGCGAGACTCTTGGGGGCGCAATTGGGGACGAAAGCATCGACTTCGGCGAAGCTCTCGCACACGCCGACGGCATGAAGCCCCACTTCCACGCTGGCCTCCCGCACGGCCACGTCGGGCAAGAGGGGGCGTCGAAAATCGCGGACCTTCCTGCTGCGCCCATGAACACGTCCATGCGGGCACGAAGATCGCCTACTTTGGGGACCTGTTGATGAACCAGGACTACGGGGAGATCCAGGGCCCCGACGGGAAAGCAGTCGGTGTCCTCACGGGGTGGAAGGACGCACGAGGGCAACCGTGCCGCTTGGACGTGGTCAAGGACCTTGCGACGAAGTCCAATTTTAGCGGCCTCCCTCCGCCTTTCAACCTCAAGAGCCAACCTGGCGGGACATACGTCATGCAGATTTTCGTCGTCGGCGCTGGGGAGGGTAAGGTGCACATCTTCAAAGACGTTGACTTGAAGGGCCAGTTCTTGAAGATGGCAAGCTGCGAGCCAGTGTGTCATGGTACAGGCGTCGTGTACCAGTATGGGAACCAGTATAGGGCAGGCCGCAATGCGATCTGTTACCTCCTGGAGAAACTTGGCGGCTTACAGGTTCGCTTCTCCGCGCTGACAGCCACGGCGAAGCCTGCCGAGCGCTCGACCGAGTGGGATAAGAAGCTCGAGGGGTACCGATACATCGAGAAGAAGGGCCCGAAGAGCAACAACCGCAACCAGTTCATGGAGTTCGCGGACAAGGACGGTTCGGCGGGGGAAAACGGCGCCATGTGGCTAGCCCCTTTGCTACCCTCTTCCCCCCGACACCCTCCTCGGTCGCGCAGGCGCTTTGGCCGCCGAGCGGTTGCGGCTAGCTAAGCGGTGCCGTTGTTTCCCCGCCCCCCCCAGGGGGTCAACGACCCGCAGTCGACAATTTACGGCTGGGAGGAGTCCCGCGTGATCCAGGCGTTGCGGAACCATGCGAGCGGGCGCATCAATGCCAAGCGCATCACTGTCTGGGTGCTCACGCTGAAGGACTTCGAGCCGTGGTTCATCAACGAGGTGCTCGCGAAGATCCTGCCAACGCTTCGCCGCGACGGCGTGCTCTGGATCGGCGAGACCAGAGTGGGGAAGTCGACTGCGTCAAAGACCCTTGCGTTCTTGATGTCCATGCTGGAGATCGACGCCCATGAGGGCGATGATGGGGAGGGCGCCCCCGAGCCTTCCATTGTCACCACCAAGCACTTTGATTTCTTCAAGGGCGAGCACGTGGAGAGGGTGCTGCCCGCGGTGTTCGATGACGGGGACTTGCACAAGCAGGACGCGTCCGTGTTGAAGGCGTTCCTTAACCCGAGCGAGGGGGGCTCCACCTTGTGGGCGAGGTGGGGGTCCAGCACGTTCGCCCCAGGGGCGTCCCGCCAGGCAGTGAACAACAGCTACGATAATGCATTGGAGAAAAGGTTGGTGGCAGCTTGGCGCCAGGGGCAAGCAATGGAGATTCCGCTCAAGCAGTTCATGAATCTCATCGCGCCCTCCCTGAAGCAGGTCGCAGAGGAAGAGGACATGAAAGCCTTGCCCGCGAGGACCCACGTCGTCGTGACCACGGACGCGCGCGTGTATTCCCGCCTAGCATCCGATGAGTTCCCAGAAGACGGAGTCGTGCCCTTCTTCACATACACCAAGAAGACGAAGCCTGACCTCTTCAATTACTCGCCCGAGGCGCGCGCGTGCTTCGGCAGGTACAAAGACGACCCAACTTCGCCGAACAACTACCCGACCGACTTCAAGGAGAAATCAGAATGGTCTCTGAATTTCGCGAAGCGCCTGATGCGCGGCGAGGGCGTGCCCACCGCGTCGATCACCCGCGGCGCCTCGCTCTTCGGGCAGCCCGTGCACAGCGTCCAGCCAGAGGTCGTGCCCCCGCCAGTGGGCGGTTCAGGCAGTGGCGCGGCTTCTTCGGGCGGTTTGTCAGGGCCATCTGCGGTCGCTGGCATGGGGTGCGCTGGCGAGCTGAGCAACGTGGATGCGGCCGAGCAGCAGGCGATCTACGCCGCGATGCAGGATCAATTCTTCGAGGGCAACAAGAGGGACAGCGGCGCGTTGGTGGACCTCATGTCGCCTCCCCGCAAGCGCCTCGCGACGGGCGCCAGGGCTCCCTTCGGGTGCGGCGGGGAGCTCAGCGACGTGGACTTGGCTGAGCAGGCCGCGATCTACGAGCAGATCCAGCAGGCGTTCTTCAACCAGAACCAAGTGCTCTCTGGCACGCATATAGACCTCACCACTCCGCCCCGCCAGCGCCCTGACACGGCGGGCGACGACTTCGACTTGCAGGCCGAGCTCGGGCGCCACTTAGACTTGGAGGAAGAACGCGAGCGCCAGCTAGCGGAGGAAGCCCGCAATCAGGCAGCAGAGGACGCCGCGGGCCAGGGCGGCGCCATGGAGGAGTGAGGTGGTCTGTGGGCGGGGTGCCCATGCGCGGGCAGTGTTGCCGCTTTCGGCTCGGGCAATGACGGGGCGCGCGCCGCCGAGGGGGCGCGCGCCGCTGGTGCCCCAGATGAGCCGTTAGCACGCTTCATAGCCGTGCACATATATCGTTTTCTTCTCGATGCATACACGTCCTTAGATTCGTTTGAGCCGATTGGTTGAAACCAGCGCACGCTGCAAGAATGGGCATCGCGCGCGCGGGCACCCATGCGTCATTGCCTCCGCGGCTCGCCGCTAGCCATAGCCCAACCGCGCAGCCACAGTTCCTTCACCCATCGCTTCGCTTGCACCGCAGCTGTTTTGGCTCGAGGGCGCATCGGCAGACCGCATATCGGGGGCGCTTGCGGCGATGGCAGGCATGGCGCACACGTACAACAACATCAAGAGCTTCAAGAAGGCTCTCGACGCATCGGCCTTCGACACGAGGGAGGAGTTTCTCGCCGTAGTCAAGTGCGCCAACATCGAGGATATGTCGCCGTATCCACAGGACCCCGCGACGCCGCTGATGGTCTTTGCCCAGCACTTCGGCGTGGTTCCCGATGAGTACTGCTGCCCAGAGTGCGGCGCCGAGTTCACCATGAAGGTCAAGTCTGGGACGTCTGACCGCGCGGCGCGCTGGCAGTGGCGGGGCCCTCGCTGCGACCGCGCTGGCTGCTGCGACGCACGCGGCGACGTTGAGATCTCCATGACGAAGGACACCTTGTTGGCAGATGTCAAGGCGTCGAACTGGCTCCCATTCTTCGACTGCATGGTCATGTGGGCCCAGGAGTACCCCCATTTGAAGATCGTCCACGAGCTCGGCAAGCAGCACAACGTCGCGGGCCCCTGGATGGAGAAGTTCCAGGATGTCGCCGCGTCTTACGTCGCCGACAAGATCTCGCTCCCAAAGCTGCACGAGGACTTCAAGAAGCGTGCCAAGGCCAAGGGCAAGAGGGGCGTGAAAAAGACGATCTCCAAGAAGAAGCCGTCCAAGTTCATCGTGCAGGCCGACGAAGTCTTCTTGAACAAGTCCAAGGTCAGCCGCCTCGCGCCAGGCACCCGCCCCAAAAAGGACAAAGTGTGGCTGTGGGGTGCGGTCGTGCAGGGCAGCCCAGAGAACTTCGTCTTCCGAGTCCTGGAGCACCCAGAGGACGCTTTCGACGGACGCCCCCGCGATAAGCAAGAGATGGTGACGAACTTCGACACGCTGGGCCTTCGCAAGGGCATGGTCGTCGCCACGGACGGGTGGCGCGCCACGATCGCTGCCATCAAGCACATCAGGGACAAGAATTTTGCGGCCGCCTGCCGACTACCTCGGATAGGCGGAAGTGGGCCCGCTGGGTGACGGAGTTCCAGTACAGGAAAGCCGTCACGAAGACGCATTCGGTCGATGGCGGCCACATCTACTCCCTGCCGACGAAGACGTTCCTTTCCCACGCGGCGGAGGTCACACTGGCTGGGGGTATCTGACGCGGCGCCTCGGGTCCTGAGGCAGCAAATAATCTCGAGGCTCGGCAGCGCCTGTGATGCGAACTACATGCTGGGCTCGCGCGTGCATGGCGTGAGAATGGGGCCACCCATGCCTGGGGTTGAACAGCGGGTCCACGCCGCCGCGGCAACAAAAAAAACATCATCCAATCATCAGCGCCGCCGCCACCGTCGTATCACGCCGAATTAGCAGAATTCCTTAAATCGCAGGGGTCCGAAACCGAACCGAAACCGGTAATTAGTTGTTGGCTACTTTCCGGGCCAGGTTTGTTTGATATTCGAGAAATGAAGGGATGGGGAATATTCCATATTTTCTTGAAGCATTCCGCCTGCTTTGTTGAACCATGCTAAATTGAGGGAAAACATGACTTTGCTTGTGGCCATCGCTTGGCATATTCTGAATGTCATGTTAACGGTGATTCAAGTTCGCTTCCATATTTTTGTATATCTGCAGATCTCCCCCCAAGCTTGTTCCAGTCGCTTGTTAATTCTGCATGTATGTGTCCAGTAATGGGATGAGAAAGGTCATTCCCATCTCTTCCTGGAAAAACATTATGCAAAGACATCGTTGCGGCTAACAAGGAACCCAAGAACCGTGTTCAATGATCTTGATGTGCTGTGGGCTAGGGCAGTGGCTTTTTGCGCGCTTGTGTTGAGCGCTCGCTGGCAATGTAATCATACCCGGAGAAAGAAGAGGACAAAATGCCAGTGGGGGCGTCGTCCGAGCAGCAATTGGAGATCCTCCAAAACTTAGATTGCCGCAAGAGCAAAAGTAAGAATCTTCGGCGGACCCATTGCTCTTGAGTGCATGCCCTGCACAGGAATTGGACCCAAAATTCATGGGCAATCCGATTTCTGTAGATCGACGATCGATTCCAAGAACATCGGCAGAGCCTGGGATACCTCATCTTCTTTAGCTTTGATATGCTTGATCTCGCGCCCAATTCGTTTTCCGTCGCTTGGCCCGCAGCTTGCAGCACATCACCTTTTCCACCTAACGAACCATGAATGCCCCAAATATGTTTTACGCATCGGACGGGTCTGCACATTTAGTACACGTGGCATACATATCACACCGTGCCGAAACATTCGACATTCAGGATAGGGCGTCGGAATCGGACCAACAGATGAGAGGTAGATTTGGAGAGATAGGAATCGAAATTGGAGAGATGGGGGTTGGAATCGGGAGGATGTGAGCCGGAATAATGGCATGATTTCATGCGCAATGATGCTGAATGAAGATGGGGGGCCGGATTCGTAGTCAAAGCCGGGGACGTGCGGGAAATCCAGTAGGAATCAGAAATGTCACAGGGTGGGATCCAGAGTCGCATTGGGAATTCGGCTATCATCGGAACCTTGTCCATTGCTTTGTTGATCGTCGTCATGGAGCCTGTCGTCGTTGGATTTGTCCCCCTCTAGAATATGAGTTGTCGTTTTTCCCTTCGTCGTGTGATAACCATATATCGAAAATATCATCGCGATGCCCTTCTTTGTGGACGATCCACGTATACAGAAAGAAAATGCCCTCAGGCTGCAATATTGTTCCCTATCTAGGCTCTGCCTAGAGGGTTCTTACTCTCTTAGCTTAAATGGGGCCGGGCAGTGTAACACGCCCCGGGCGGTTCCCCCCGTCCCCGCCCCGCGGTTCCCCCAGTCGCGCCCCCTTAGCTTGTCTTAGCTTAGCTTGGCTTGGCTTAGCTTGGCTTAGCTTAGCTTAGCTTAGCTTGGCTTACCTTAGCTTAGCTTAGCTTAGCCTAGCTTAGCTTAGCCTAATATAGCTTAGCTTAACGTCGCATAGCATAGCATGGCATAGCACAGCATAACATAGCACAGTATTGCATAGCATAGCTTAGCATAGCGCCCCCTTAGCTTGGCTTAGTTTATCTCGTCTTAGCTTAGCTTGGCTTATTTTAGCTTAGCTTTAGCTTAGCTTGGGCTTAACATTAGCTTAGCTTTAGCGTAGCTTTAGCTTAGCTGTAGCTTAGCTGTAGCTTAGCTTTAGCTTAGCGTCAGCTTAGCTTCAGCTTAGCTTTAGCTTAGCTTGAATTTAGCTTCAGCTTAGCTTTAGCTTAGCTTCATCTTAGCTTTATCTTAGCTTTAGCTTGGCTTTGGCGTTAGCTTAGCTTTAGCTTAGCTTTAGCTTAGCTTTAGCTTAGATTCTGCTTTCCTAGGGGCTCCAACTCCTAGGTAGGGTCGCACTGGGATATTTTTTTTGTGTTTTCCCCCATGCGGCCCAGCATTGGACCAGGTGACACGCGTTTTGCAGGCTGGGCCCGACGCCGGCGCGGGGCCAGCGCGCGTCTCACGTCGACGGCGTCGCGCGCGAGGGTAGTCCGAACCCGCGCCCGCGCCAGCCGCCCCCGGCCCCGCGGGCGAGGCGACCGCCAGGGTGCGGCCGCGCAAGACGGCCGCGTTCCAACCGACAGCGGCATCACTGCGCACGAGCGTCATCAGAGCTTCGCGCGAGACGGCGCCTTCGAGCGTTCGAGGCGCACCCGCGGCGACTCGCCGCTGCGGTGCCCGCCGCGAGGCGACCTCTAAACAAATCACGATCGGGCAAATTCGCCGCGATGCGCGTGCATGGTTTCTGTCCCTGACGGGTCGATCGCGCGTCTGCGCGGGCGCGTCGTTCCGTTCGATTGCGCTGCCCTGCCCTGGCAGACGGCAGGTCGCCCAAAGCGCGGCGCCAACCCTAAATGCGACATGGCCGACGGGGGGTCGGCCCGATGGCGGCGCGGTCCACGGCGAGCGGCCCCGCGCGCTCCAGACGGCGCAAACCAGCGCTCTGAGATACCAAACCGATAGAAGAAATGGAAAACGGCCATATGGTGCGAAGCAAAGCGCGTGACCCGCGCCATCTTTGGAACCGACAGGGCGCTCAGATCGCCGTCGCTCTGAGAAGGGGCGGGAGAAGGACAGCGCAACACAAGACAATGCGCGCGCGCGGGAAGGAGGGGTTGAAGCAGGGGGGCGGAGGGGGAAAAGGAGAAACATAAAAATACACAGAGAGAACAAACAAAAGGAGGGATAGCGATGTGTATATATATAGAGAGAGAGAGAGAGAGAGAGAGAGAGAGAGAGAAAACAAAAACTTTGGGTGATAGGGGTAGGAGCAACATACGCATCCGCGAAAGTGTTTCTGCTTGACCCATGCGCGCTGGACTGGCCGTCTCACGAACGAGCATTTCAACCAATCATTGTTGCGAGCGATCGGTCTCGCGGGGATGCGCGGAGCGCGGGGATCTGCGATGCGCGAAGCGCCCAGAATAAACTGCCTCCCCCCCCCGTCCTTCTCGTGCCACGCCCGACGGCGCGGCCGCGAATGTTTCCGCGCTGCCACCTCGCACCTCCCGCGCGCCCTCGCAGCGCGCCTGCGCAGCTTCGGTTCGAAAAGTCGTGAGGCGCGCGAATGCAGAGGAGGAGGCGGAGAAGGAGGAGGAGGGGGGGGGAGGAAAAGTGGGAGAAGGAAGCGGACGAAAAGGAACTCATCCTCCTCCCGAGGAGGAGGAGGAAAAAGACAAGGAAGAGGAAGAGGAACACGAAGAGGAAGCGGTGGAGGAGGAAACGGGGGAGGAGGAGGGGGGGAGAAGAGGAGGAGGGGGGGGAGAAGGAGGAGGAGGAGGAGCAGGAGCACCTCCTCTCCCTTCCCCCCTCCCCTTCCCCTCCCTCGTGCCCCGCTTTGGAAACCGACTGAATTCCTGCGTCCCCCTTCTTCCTGGTCCAACCGTCTCTCCTCCTGTTCTTGATGATCGTGATGATCATGATGATGCTGAGCATGCTGCGGTTACTGGTGATGATCGTAAGGATTAGGATGCTGATCATGTCGCAGCTACTGGTGGTGCTGGTGATGGTGATGATGATGCTGTTGATGAGGGTGATGATGCTAAGGATGATGATGTTGCTTTTGCTGCGGAGGACGATGCTAAATGGTGCTGGTGGTGATGATGGCGATGGTGGTGGTGGTGATGGCGATTGTGGTGGTGATGATGAGGGCAACGAGGATGTTGATGGTCATGGTGGTGGTGATGACGATAATGGTCTCGATCAGCATGGGCATCGCTATTACCGGGACCAGGGCGACTGATGCAGGAAGAGCCCGCAGCCTCCTTCTGCGTCCAGCCCGCGCCCTGCCATGTCCCCCGCGACGCCCGGCACCCCGCTAGGTTCGGGGTTCGGGGCGATTCTGGACGGGGCGCTGGACAGCGGTGCGTCCGGCAGTGCACCGAGAGAGGGCGCGGGCACAGGAAGCGCCACGTTCGCCTGCATCAGGCGCGAGGAGGTCTGCGACCTGAAAGAACTATCCAAGCCGGGGCGCCAGTCCAAGTCGCAGAGCGGCGCTCCGCCGAAGGAGGGGGTCGAGCTCAAGTGCGACGCCGCGTGCGCAGCACTGGCCAAGAGGTGGAATAAGTATCCGAAGTTGCAGACGTGGCTCGATGGGTTGACCCCTGAGGTGGTAGCGGTCATCCACAGGAAGCCCACAAGGGCTGCCGAGTCTGGGGGCACCGGCAAGAGGGACTTCGGAACCATGCCGGAGAGCTCTACCCTGAGCAGGGTTGGCGGAGACGAGCGCCGCAGAATCCATTGGAGGCCGTTCCCCGTGCGGTCGAAGGATTTCCTGAAGTCTGACGAGGGCAAGGGAGCAGGGGACAAGGAGGCTGAGACCGCGTGGTAGCGAGCCCTCTTGAATGCCGAGTGCACCCAGATGATGGGAGGAGAGCTTCACCTGGGCGAGTTCCACTCGACGACTCGCTGGAGGGGAACTACACTGACTCGAGGCTCGGCGAGCGCGGTATGCTTTCCCCTGGTGAGCTCTCGGCTGCCATGGAGAGGTCTGGGACGCCCACGACGGCCGCGAGGGCAGAAGTTGAGGCCAGTCGGCCGCGGGTGCAGTCCAGATCGGGCCCATCCGTCGATCCGCCCATGACCCCTGGCCACGTTGACTCCTCGGGCGCGGATGCAACCCGCCCCGCGACCACCGTGATCGACCCCCTGGAAAGTAGGGCGGCCGCCAGGGCCAAGGCGAAGGCGTCGATGGAGGAGCTCTACGAGGAGGACGCCGATGCGGCGAAGAAAGTCGACGCCCCCATGGACGTGGACCCCATCGTGGCCAGTGCCAAAGCTGCGCAGCTCGACGCCGACATGAGCAGCGCCTCCTTGAAGGCCAAGATCTCATCAACTGTAGACGCCATGGTTCCGGAGGCGGAGTTGCTTATTACCCATGTGACCACGAAAGAGTTCGACCTTTCAAGTAAGACGCCGCAGGAGTTCGAGGACTTGGTGGAGGCCTTAAAGAACGCCATCGCGCGCGTAGAGGCCGAGAAGCAGAAGGCCGTTGAAGAGGTCGCAAAGAAGTGTTCTGAGGTGGTTGGCACCCTCTAGAGCGACCCCACGGCCGACGTCACGCAGGCGCGGGCGGCGATGGCTGATGTCCAGAAGACCTTCAACGGACAGGCTGGCGCCGTGGCAGCACTCAGGAAAAAGATAGCGGAGCTTCGGGGCAAGCTCCAGAAGAGTATGCAGGATGGATGCAAGACGACGAAGATGGACAAGTTGAGAGGCAAGCTACACGCGGCCGCAGGGGAAGAGGGAATTGAGCCAGATACGATTCGGAACATCAAGTACTTGAAGGACAATACTCACGCGTCCAACGGGGGCGACATCAATTTGGGGACCAAGGTGTTCGAGGAGAAGGCGGCGAAGCCAACGCTCGGCGATGAGGTGATCAAGAAGACCGAGGACAGCGCCAACTTCAAAAAAATCTTCAAGTGTTTCACTGAGAAGGTCAGCACCGATGGCGCTGGCAAGGTCAGCAACTCCGCAAGCTTCAACAACCCCTCGCTTCTACGAGCAGCGAGGGCCGCCATCAAGGGCGCCGAGGCGTCGGGCGGCCACGAGGTTCAACCGCCTCTTCAGCTGCGAACCGAACTCCGAGAAGAAAAAGGCATACGAGGCCATGGATGCTGCCTAGTACAACATCAACTACTTCGACATCCTGGAGGGCGGCAGCACGCTGAACCCGCAGCCGCACGGCTTGCCGCATTTGCACATCGTTCGTTACGGGGCCATTGCCGTGGCCGGCGCGCAATGCGACGCCGAGAAGCCCGTTGCTCAACAAATTGTCGACCTCATGGGCTTGTCTGGCGAGGACTTCGCGAAGACGGTGACCTCCGAGCCGAACCTCTTCGCCGCGGTTAAGAAGGGCGAGGTTCTCTACATGCCGCCAGGCGTCATCGCCTGCGCGCGGGCGGCCGAGAACACGACAGGCCTACGCTGGGCGACGATCAACCAGAAGAACAAGGACGAACTCAAAAAGGTGCAGATGGTTGTCGCTGCCTTGTGCGAATCGTACCCTACCTTGCGCGGCTCGCAGCATGGCTCGCGGCTGAAATACTTGAGTCGACGAGCGCGACGTCGGGCCCGCGCGACGCCTGTCCGCGCCGTGGCGCACCGCCGCTGCGATGGACGGTTTGCAGATAGCAGTGCCGAGGTTTCGGGGCCGGCCTTGCTGCCTGGGGCTTGCCCGCGGTGGTCCGCGGGGCAGCGGGCTCGAAGCGGGCGGTTTTCGATGACAGGCGAAGCAGACAGTCAGGGCCCATGGGTCTGAGAGTTCGCCAGGGGCGGGAAAGGCATCGCCCCCCTCCTTCCCCCCCCCCCCCCCCCCCAGTCCTCTTCCCCCCGCCGCCCCCCTGCGCGCCGCGACCAGGGGGCGGGGGGGGGGGGGGCAGGGCGCCCAAAGGGGTCAAAGAGATGCCCAGGCAGGCCCCGTTCAAGTTTTTGGAAGCCCGATCGCGACTCTCTCCCCCGCCCGACGACGAGGTCGATGGCGGTGTTGGTGACAAGCCGTCGTCATTACAATTTCCTGCATCGCCATCGTCATCCGCATCGCCATCACCACCACCACCGTCATAATCATCACCATCAGCATCATCATCGCCATTATCATCAGAATCATCAAACTCGGCATCCGCACCATCATCACCAACATCATCATCATCATCGTCGTCATCATCACCATGACCACCACAAGCATCGACAGGATCATCATCATCAGTACGGCGCCCCCGCCCCCATGAGATCCCTGAGGGGGCAGAGGAACCCGCGTGCCTGACACTTGCAGCGGCTGCGGACCGTCAACCGACGTTTCGACTGGATCGGATCAAGCCCCACGGCTCCGACAAGCCCAATTTCGCCGACCCCGCCGTTGGCTTCCGACGCCGCCTGAGACCGTTCAACGCTGGGTTGGCCTCGAGCCGCCAACGGCGAAACACATGCACGCGGGCGGCGGGGCCGCCGCTGGTCGACGGTCGGCGCGACGCGAACCTCTCGTACTTTATGTTGCCAACGCTCTGGGATTTGCATTGCTATGCCCCTGGCCCATGTCCCAATCCCCGACCGTTTGAAACCGACTGTCTCCCCCTCCGCCCCCGAACCCATACCCTCTCCCGTGCTTTCAGGTGTGTGCTGCTTTGTAGCCGTTGGGCCGCGGGGTATCACTTGGCTTGCTGACTTTGCGTTGCCACTGCCCCTCCTCCGGACTCTGCCGCGACGCGCCCGCAAGTTTTCCGCCGCTCCTGGGCTGACTCAAAAAAAGACCAGGGCGAATGGGGGGGGGGGGCGCAGAGCATACATGCAGCGACGAACGCGAATGAAGAACTATATGTTGCCTGATCCGACTCTCAGTTCGGTTCCAAATCGGTCGAGGTACTGATGGGGGATGAAGTCGCAAACTCCATGGAGTAACGCATTTCCCACGGAAAGACGCATGACCCCCGCCAGGCCGCGCAGTTCGCCACGGGCGCAGACCCCCAGCATGCGCCCCAGTGGCCCCCGACAGGCTGTCTGGCACAGCCATCTGCGAAGCCTGCGCCGCGCCTCCTAGGAAGGCGATGCGCATTCAAAAGTACCCGGGCGCCTCGACTTCAGTTCCTCACTGCAGCGAGCCCGAGCCACGGCCACTGCCCAGACATGTAGGGTTTCGGCGGGGCCCGCGCCCCGTGCCCACGCTTGCCGTCGAAGACGATGATGAGCCCCCCTGCGTCGGAGAAGCTGCGCTCACCGATGATGAACTTGCACCGCGCGGAGACAAGTACCTGGGGCCGCGCGCTTCCGCTTCATCTCCTCCGCCTCCTCCTCCTCCGCCTCCTCCTCCTCCTGCCCCTCCTCCTCCTCCTCCTCCTCGTCCTCCTCCTCGTCGTCGTCGTCCTCCTCCTCCTCCCCCAACCCCCTCCTCCTCAGTTTCTCCCCGCTCGGTCGTCGTCGACATTCTCCCCTGGCCCCCGATCTGGGCTCTCTTGGGCCGCCCCCAGGAGGCCTCGAATGATCCCCCAAGACGCCCCAAGAGGCGCCCAAGTCGGCCCCAGGCGCTACCAAGAGGCGTTTCAGTCGGCCCAACAGGCCACCGAGACGGCCCAGATAGGCAAAGAAAACGCGCAAACGGAGACCAGGGGATGGCTGACAGTTGACATGATCGTACTTTCCAGCCAAAATGAGTTGAACACACTCGGCTTCGGCCAACCATTTCGAAGCAAAGTCTGTTCGCCCGATTCCTCTGTAGAAGACGACTGTTTCAGCCCCTCCCCTCCCCCTTGCCGCCCCTCCCCCAAGCGCGCGGGGCATCCTCGAGGCTCTGCCGCGGCGCGAGAACGGCCCAGCCGCGATCGACGTCGGCGCGCGCGCAGCAGCGGACGTTGTTGGCGCGCGCCCCAGGCCCTTGCAGGCAGGGTCGGCCATCGTGCGCGGCTCGAAGAGGTTCCCGCAGACTTGCGGCGGCGCGATGTTGTCGTCTCTGCCTCGCGGTCCATCGCATGCTCTCCTCGTCGTCGTCCTCCTCCTCCTCGCCCTCCTCCGCTCCCCGCCCCCCCCGCCCCCCCCCCTCCTCCTTTTCCTCCTCGTCTTCCTCCTCCTCCTTGGTTTCCGGAAGCGTTTTGCAGATAGCGCCTCCGAATTCCAAGAAATCTCCCAGGCGCTTTCCAATGAAGGGCGCGCGGGGATTCAACCCGAAGAACCATGCCGGCAAGGCGCGCGGGAATCCCCGAAGTGGGGGGCGGTATCGCCGCTGCCCCTGAAGCCGCACGGGTCTGGGAGAACGTTGGCGGGATTGATGCCGATCTTCGCCGCGAACGTCTTCGCGTCAATCACCGCCTCGCGGGAAGCAGCAGGTGGGCGAGCGGCGCGGAGCGGGGCTCCCAGCAGATATCCGGGGCGGAGCGACCCCCCCAGCGGAACTGGGACCCTGGCAAAAACTCATGGGAATCTGACCGCGGGGAGCGACCGTGCTGCTCTTGCACTCCCGACGGACGAACGCACCTCCCGCCCTCCCCCCCTGCATCCCCCCCCCCCCCTGCCCATCTCCCCCCCCTCCCCCCCCTTTCCCCTCGCGACGAGAGCGCCGCCTTGCGGTCCTCGAGCCAGAGCCACCCGTCGCCCGCGGACCAACGGGACTCGGATTTGCCTGGGCGGCAGGGGCGGGAAGGGGGGAGACGGGCATCTTGGAGCGCCAAGAGGGGCCCAACATGACCCCGAGAGGGCCCCGAGAGGGCTCCAAGAGTGCCAAACATCGGTCGCGCGAAAGAGCTCTCGCGCGAACGATCTCGGGCCCCTCTTTCGGCCATGTTGGAACTCCAAGAGGGGGCCAAGATGGCCCCGAGAGGGCTCCAAGAGGGCCCCGACATCGGTCGCGCGAAGGAGCTCTCGCGTAACCGATCTCGGGCCCGTCTTTCGGCTGGGAGGAGCTCCAAGAGGGCCCCAGGAGGGCCCCAACATCGGTCGCGCGAAAGAGCTCTCGCGCGACCGATCTTGGGCCACTCTCTCGGCCATCTTAGAGCTCCAAGAGGGGCCCAAAAACACTTCAGATAGGGCCCCGAGAGGGCTCCAAGAGGGCTCCAGGAGGGCCCCGAGAGGGGGCAAATTAAAACCACCCGGCAGAGGCCTCCCGGGTGATCCTAATCGGGCCCTGTTTCGGCCATCTTGGAGCCAGAAGAAGGGCCCACTATGGCCCCAATAAGGCCCCGAGGGGGCCCCACGAGGGGCCAAACATGGCCCCGATAGGGTCCCGGGAGGGCCCCAAGAGGGCCCCAACATCGGTCGCGCGTAAGAGCTCTCGCGCGACCGATCTTGGGCCCCTCTTGCGGCCATCTCGGAGCCCCAAGAGGGGCGCAAGATGGCCCCGAGAGGGCCCCGCGGGGGCTCCAAGAGGGCCCCAACAACGTCCCGCGTTTTATTTGTTCTTTGAGCCATCCAGGAAGCCTCTTGGACCGACTCGGGCACATCTTGCGAAATCCTGGGGTCGTTTTGGGCCCCCTTGGGGCAATGGCGCGCTCTCTGGTTGTCACGTTGGCAACCTTGGAACCGCGTTGGCGCCCGCCCTGGCCGACAGCTCGAAGCGGCCGAAGCCGCGAGGTGGCGCCGCGCTGGGAGGAGGGGGGGGAAGCTCAAACAGTTTGGCAACAAAGACAAATCTCGAATTCCTGTTTCCAAAAACGACGGAAGAGGAGGATGGGGGGCGAGGGGGGGGGGGGGGATGGGGGCGCCTCCAGGGCCATGCCGCTGGCGCGTGCGCGAACACCAACCAACCGAGTAGAGATCGCCGACGTGGCCTGGGCGGGCGCCGCGGCAGGGCACGGGGCCCTCGGCGCCCCTCGCCGCGGCCCAGATGCGCGAGCGCGTTGACTTCATGAGCTCCACCGCGTCATGGTGCACGCAGCCAGACACGAACTGAACGGGCTCACTCTTGTCGTCGAGCCCAATGAACCTGACGCGCTGGCCGAGGGCATGCCCTGCCGCGCGGCGCGCGTGCCGACGCGGGCGCCGCTCGTCCATCTCTACCATCTCGCTGCGCGGGCCGCGCCTCAATCTTTTCGCCCGCTTCGTCGGTGGCTAGGCGACCGGGCGCCCCCCGTCTGGGGCGCGGTCCTTCGCGGCCAGGGGGGGGGGCAGCATGGCGCCCCGCGGCGGCCGCGGCCGCGGGGGCCGCCGTCAGCCCTGGCACCGAAGAAGGATCCTGACAGAGAAAAAGCCGCGCCCCAAATGCGGGCCTCTCGAGCAGAAGCGCGCCGACGAGGCAGGAAGGGGGAAAGGCGGCGGCGACGGGGCGAAGGGCGCGCGAGGAGCGCGGGGGGCGCGCGAGAGAACCCAAACTCTTCACACATATTTGTGGCGCAACCCGGGCGCCCATGGGGCGAGTGACAACTCAGGAGGGCACGGGTGAGCACGAGGCCCAAGCGAATCACCCCGAATCACCCCTGCACCGGACCTGAATCACCCCCCGCGTCGCCCATCGCGCGATGGGCGATCCAGGAGAATCGCCCCGAATCACCCCTGCGTCGCCCCTGGAATCGCCCCGGCCTGGCCATGGGGCCAGAGGCGCCCGACCTCGTGGAGCGCAAGGGGATTTTGATCTCTCCCCCCCTGCTCGTTCCACTGCCACCCCCCCTCGCCCCCCCGAAAACGTTCCGAGAGGCGCCGATGCAGAGGGGGTGGCGCCGCGCGCCCTACGCCGCGACCGCGAGCGCGGCCTCGGCGGCGCCCGCCTCCGCCTCGTCGGGCGCGAACTCGCGGCTCTCGTCCTCTGACGTGCGTCGCAGGCTAGGGGTGGGGGGCGGATCG